CTAGTCGCTCTTTTAGTTTATTTGTTGTCATTACATCTAACAAGAATTTAAAACACTTTCATTTTCATTAGCTGAGCAAAATGTGTATCTTTATCAAGATTAAGCAGTTTTAGTTATATGAAAGAATGGCGTCTAAGTAATACAGTAAGTCACTTTAAAAAAAAACTAGCAGTAGAGCTCTTTGTGAAAGAATTAGAAAATGGTTAATGGTAAAATTAGACACAGCGCCGGCGCTACACCATATAGCGCTCGGGTGCAATCAATACCCTGGCTCTAGTAGGCTTGCGATTAAAATGGAATACTTACAGTTATAATGCACCTTTATACCTACTATTTGTATATTTAGTAGTAGTAGAGTTCCTTGTGAAAAAGTTCGTTGTCGTTTGTTACCTATTTCTGCCGCCAAGCGGTGATGTGAGCATTTCTGTGTTGATGGGTTGCCTGGTGAAATTACAGGCACATGTGACTTGTCGTCTTATGTCTTCATTCAGATCTTTGTGATTTAGAGACATGTACAAAATGCAATGATAATTTTCTGGACGAAAACGGCTCAATTGCTGATCCGTCACTTCTTTGCAGATGCAGATTTAACACTAAGTGCGGCGTTGACATACAGACACACGAGTGGAATTTGTAATATTATGAAAAAGACCCGTATAGTTAGTCCGCGCCGATGAACCTTTAATACGTCAGTTCCAGACCAATAACTTGACGAAAAAATATTTTTGAAGTCGTTTTATATCTCTTTTTATTGATTTCTTTTTTAATTAGGTACTTTTCATTCTAAGTGTCTAGTTAGGACCTCTAAGGTGGTATATTTTCTTCAAATTTAATATAAAAGAATCATCGAAATCGGCTTACAAATCGAGTAATCGCTTAACAGACACACAAAAAATTTATACAGTCGAATTGAGGAACTCATCCTTTTTTGAAGTCGGTTAAAAAATGGTAAACACTTTACTCATTAGACACTTAACTATCACTCATGGTGGTATGGGCACTAGACAAATCAAATTCAGAGAAAGAATTTTGGTTGCAAAAACCTTTTCACTACTATATGCTTTGATAGCAAACTACGGTGTAAAAGAAAAACAAATAAGCGTGCAGATACTATACTTACCAAGGACACTGCAGACATAAAGGACAACATACATAGCACAGAGAAAATAGCGGCTCTGTACTTTTTTAGTTGGCTTATAGATGACGACTTTTTGGAGTACAAAGTTTTTGTATCGGAGTTTTTAAAATTTAATTTCATCGGTTATTATAACGCCCTTCTTCGTTTGTAAAATAATAAAGGTCATTATTATTTGATACGGCACACTCTCCCAAGACACTGCGTCACCTAGCTTTGGACACTCACATTTTTTTTTACATGCACGTAGCCCCGCATTAGGGAAACCTGTATCGCGGATGTCATGAACACACACATAGACGATCATAATTTACACCCAAATTCACGAGAGAAATAAATGTAAACCATACAAATATTCCTCCCGGCACGGGAATCGAACCTGGGACCTCTGCTTGGCAGTCCAGCATGGTAACCGTTAGCCTACGGAGGCAGTTCTTATCTTAGGGTGGTATTCTAGAACTTTACTCAATGCTCAAGTTAGGATTTGAGTATGGTTTAAAGCACTTGATATCATACTCAAGTCCCTCCCATTAGGGTCGTATTTCCAGTGCTTGTGTTGCCAGTGCAATCCTGACTTGAGCATTGAATAGAGTTCTAGAATACGACCCTTAGCTTAGTTAGAATTTGCTTGTTAATGCAAATAAAAGGGAAATTGTACAAGAATTACTGTTTATTGGTCATAGATCTTAACGTCAAGAAGCTCGATTATTCGGAATGCATCCTACTGTCCTCTTATTACTTTATGGATCCTTGGTGTGCGATGTAATTTATGGATTACGTAGACTTCTAATTGGAACTTTATATAAACTACAATTAGAAGCTCAGAGGATAACGAGCTTATTGCACTGGCTGCAGCCAGTTTAATCTTTATAGTAAAATTGTGGGGGTGAGGTATGTATTTTCTTAAGTTAAACACGTTTTAGAGTCTCAGTTTTATGTTATATTTATTTATTTTAATTCTAGGTAAGTGTAGACCTTTTAATAGTTTTATTTTGATTGCTTATATTATATCACAAGAATAATGGACACAGAAACAATCATAATACATAAGATAGGGGGTAGCCGTCGGCTTTATTGCTTAATTGCAATTCCTAAGTTTGAGTTTAGATTGTTTAGAAATTTTTATAATATCCTATTTTTTATGAACATTTTTAATGGGAGACATCAATTTTATAATAGGAGTAATTTTTTTTAATTCTCCAATCCTCGGTGATTGCCTTGCTATAAAACCTTAAAGATGCAATAACAAAAAGAAATATAATAATATATATTTTCCATTTGTTATTTGCTTTTAAATAACAAATGGAAAATATATTTATTTTTATTTCTTTTCGTTACAATTATATTTTTATTTCGACATAAAATCAAATAAATCAAGTTTTTTTTTGTATATGTGACGGGACGAATCTGTCCATAAAAATTGCAGTACCACTCAGAGCTTGAAATTGCAAAAATCTGAGGGGCACTGCCACTGCGCCCGTTACCCTGAGACATAAATTGACAAGTCACATGTGCCTGTAATGTCATCAGCACCCTTACTCTTCCAAACCGAAATGAAGTAAAGCTCACAAATATTGGCGGCAGAAATAGGTGAGGTGGCATTACTTCCCTGGACGAACTCTTTCACAAAGACCTCTATTGTGCTACTAAATCCGCGTAGTTTGGTGGACTGTAGCTCACATACTCTCCTAATAGGAGACCGCGCTGGGATGGCTGTTAATTAATAACGAAGTGTGATTGTGACCCACTACGCAATGGTAAATTTGTTTTATACTAAACGAAATTAAAACTAAGAGCGCCATCAAATTAAACGCTTGTAGAAGGGCTGCAGTGGAGCGACAGCGGCGCAGCAGCCGCGCGTCTGTAGCGGTTAAGGCTCAACTCACACTGGCGCACAGTCGAAGCATCGCGTCGCATTCTGTTTTTCAATTACAACGCATGTCGTCGTGTGACGACGCTTGCATTAGCGCGCCTGAATTACGGTGTGGTCGGCGTCTGATGCGTCATTGCGCGCAAGTACGGCACGGCGACGCGCGAAACCACTCGACTTTAACCAAGCGCCGACGCGCAAAGGCGCGCGTCGCCGCGTGATTTCAGATTTGCGTAACCCAAATTTGTAACTTAATAATGGGAAAATAGAGATGAATATGTTATAGGCGTAAAACATGACGCATCGCGACGCTTCGACTCTGCACCGGTGTGAGTTGAGCCTAAATTCAATTTACATTGCGGCGGAACGGAATGGAAGCAAATTTTTGTAACGATTGTAATAACGATGTAAACCTTGATGAAATACCATACCTTCAAGGCGCGGTTGCTGGAATGCTCGAGCGCACGGTTCAGAAGGCGCTCAGCGAGACAAAATTGACGCTTCCATTCCATTCCGTTCCGCCGCAATGTAAATTGAGCCTAATTAACTTTTATTTCACTAATTGTGACTGCAAAAGTGGCGCGCGTATCACGACTGTGGCGCTGCTATTGCGCTTCTAAATATTGCATAAAAATTAGTCGTAGTGCGGGTGCAGCGCAACAGTGGCGCCACTGAAGTGCTTCTATAAGCCTCTAATTGGAAGACGCCCTTATCACACATAAAGGCCAACTAGCACCACCTTTTCAGCTTCCATAAGTCTCGTTATTTTAAAGAAAAAGGATTGGGTTTCGGCAACCAAAAGTAATTCGTCGTTTTGACTTTTCCACTAAGCTCAGTCATGGTGGTTAAAACTCGCTTGTTTCCGTTCTTAGGCCTTAGTAACATGTCTGTCTTCAAGTATAACTCAAGGTCCGTAAATGCACAGGTTGTTTGTGAATTAGTAGTAGTAGAGCTCCTTGTGAGAGTGTTCGTCCCGGGAAGTACTGCCACCTTGCCTATTCTGCCGTCAAATAGTAATGTGAGAGCATTTTTGCGTTTCAGTTTTGAAAGGTGCCGGTGAAATTACAGGCACATATGACTTGTCAACTTATGTGTGAAGGGTGACGGGTACTGTTGCAGTTGGAGGTGGGCGTTTAAACGAAAAGCACTTTAAAAGTTGCTTTTCAAAATAAGCACATAAGCACGCTTTTCAATTTAAGCGTAAGCGTTGGTCAATTCAATGCTCAACAATTTGATTTTTAACAACGTACTTGTGTTTCAAGTACCGCCATCTATGTTTCCTAAACAAATTAATTCGTCAATGTGAATGATAATTTTATAAACAAAAATAAAACTCGTGTTTTACAAATAAACTTACTTATCTTAAAACCTTTAGTGGTCTAATCTTGCTTTTCGCTATCAACACAACGTAGCAAGTTTTTTTTAACATAAAAGTCTATGCGCTAAAACGGTTTTCTGAACGATTTTGTAAGCTTCAAACTAAAAAGCGTTCAGCGTTCAGAAAAGAACAACGTTTATAAAAATAAGCAGCTTTTCCCATCTCTAGTTGCAGTGCTTCTCACATCTTTGCGATTTAAAGCTCTTAGTGGCACTGTAGATGTACAGATATGTGCATAATACCAGGCGCACGACTTGCTTTTTTTATATCAAAACAAGAGTGCATTTTACCTCCAACTTATCTGGAAGTGACGATGGGATCGAGTGAGCAGACACACCTATATAATGTCTATTACTGCTTCGCGGCAGAAATAAGTATGGTGACTGTACTTCCCTGAACGAAGTTTACCAAGGAGGTCTAAACTACTATGAATAGAATAATCTCATTCAGTTTAGTTTCTTTCATCCCATTAAAACAATATTCCAAATATCTTCCTACATACATAAATCCGTTCCTGCATAAAATGAATCGTGGCATCATGCTTTAATTTAAACACACAAACTGTGTTTACCGACCTTGAAGTATACCAGGATGTTAAAAACAAAAAGTTTACTTACTAAAAACCGGACTAAGATCCGACTTCACTGAGAGTTTACCGGAATACGGTTCACCGGATTTCTCCTGAAACAATGCAAACAACAGATTATTAATACAACATCTACATTTAAATTCCAACTTTAACCATCTTAAAATAAAATCCGTTTTTGTACCTTCTGCCGCTGAATGCAATTTTGGATTTTAATATTATTATTGCGTTGGTATTGGCGTCGCGTTCTGAGAACGTATTATTTTTAGTAATTATACTTCTAGAAAATGAAACTATTTTTCCGATGTAAATCTGGTAATTTATTTGAAAAAACAAATATGCGCGAATGAAATCCGAACACTTTCATTTCCTATAAATTATATTTTTCGTTTAAATCTCTCCAGATATATGTCAATGGGAGCTCAGGACTCTTCGAACTATTCGAACTCCATGCGATTGCAGAACATCAACACAGTCCACGCAGCACTCATTGGTATAGTTCTACCAAAATTAACAACACAAAATTAGTATAGTTCTAAGATAAAAATAAGATATTACACTATTGTAGGTAGTACTAAGTTGAGGTAAGCGGTGCACGGCTGCGTCCGGCACCAAATTAACGGCGGCAATTGAGTAATTTCCTTAAATTCATTAGCAAGAAAGACTTTGTTTTCCGCACCTTTCCTTTTTTCAAATCTCCAAGCGACAGAACATGCGACGAGGATGGCATGTAGGTAGTATTAAGTTAGAGGTAAGCGGTGCACGGCTGTGCGCGGCACCAACTTAACGGCAGTCGAGTACATAAGCTCAGGTGCGGAAAACAAAGACCTGCTTGCTTTCCGCACCTTTCCTTTTTTCAAATCTTCAAGCGACAGAAAATTGGCGACGAGGATGGCATGTAGGTAGTATTAAGTTAGAGGTAAGCGGTGCACGGCAATGCCCGGTACCAACTTAACGGCAGTCGAGTACAAAAACTCAGGTGCGGAAAACAAAGACCTGCTTGCATTCCGCAACTTACCTTTTTCAAATCTCCAACCGACCAAACATTGGCGACGAGGATGGCATGTAGGTAGTATTAAGTTAGAGGCAAGCGGTGCACGGCTGTATCCAGCACCAAGTTAACGGCTGTCGAGTAAAGAATCGCCTTTGCTTTCCGTACCTTTCCTTTATTCAAATCTCCAACCGACCAAACAACATATACTATAACTATCTAACTGCCTCCGTGGCCCGACGGTTGCCATGCTGAACTGCCACGCAGAGGTCCCAGGTTCGATTCCCGGGCCGGGAGAAATATTTGTGTAGTCTAGATTTATTTATCTCGTGAGTTTGGGTGTAATTTGCGATTGTCTATGTGTTTGTCCATAGCACCCGCGATACAAGGTTTCCCTAGTGCGGGGCCATAAAAAAAAGAAGAAGTCTTAGGTACTGTGAACATGACAATAAGGTTTTTATATAATGTTTTGTTCTACAAAGGCGCTAATTTATTAGCTCTCATCCTATTAAGGACATTTCCAGTACATAAAAACAACTTGTAAGTATTAATTAACATTTACAATGCAATAGCTAGAATTAAAAATACGTCAGCTGATGAATTAGGACCTTATGTACTGCGTGGGAATGAATATCTAATTTGAACTTTTTATAATGAAATTATCGAAGTACAGAAGTACAAGCATAGATAATTACAAATTTTTTATTAAAAAAAACCGACCTCAAAAGGTCGTGGAATTACATCTAGGTATTTGCAAGTTTTATTGATATCGATTACCGGAAAGTGCGCGTAACTGGGTTCATCCCCTAGTTTGCCACACTTAGACTTGGAATATTTTCTTCAAATGTAAATGGGACCACTGAGACACCCTCTTTATAACAATAAATTATCATCAAAATCGGTTCACAAACTTATCCGGATATAGCCGGAGTTATCGCGTAACATACACAAAAAATACTGTCGAATTGAGAACCACCTCCTTTTTTAAAGTCAGTTAAAACAGTTTAAATATACTTTAAAAGGACAACTCAGACCGCGCGGTGTTATAAGTTACTTCGCAGTTTGATATACTTTCAAAAATAATATGATAAATAGAGCTTTTTAAAATAATAAATTCATTGCTTTTTCCATGGCCCTATGGTTTTTCGAAATCCTTATCAAACTTTCAATTGTTTTCACTAAATCATTAAAAAGTAAGGGAATTATTTAAAATTTTGGAACGGTACTTTAACGGGAAACTAAGAAACAGTGATTCGAGACCATTGACTTACAATTATATGGACGTCGGGTCCGCGCTAAAAAGTGTCCGCACTTGTAAGGCGCTAAAATCGTATACAGAGCGCGACACTCCGCTTTAGTCTTCATTTGTTCTACTGACAGCGCGATACTGCGATGACATAACAATTTAAATTTCGAATAGGTTGACTTGGGACATTTTTTTCGTGGTTTTTGTATTAGACCCGTCGTCCATTTATTTGTAAGTCAATGTTCGAGACATTAGTATCTGGACCGTGTCTCCTGAATGTCATTGAGTTTTATTGGACGATATCCAAAATAGGATCAAACTTCGTTCGGATGGAGCGCGCTAGTAGAGTTGTCCGCTTAATATACATTTTAAAGATTTCGTGGTTATTAACAAACCCATTAGCGATCATTTAAGTTTTTCTTCTATATATATTTATTGATACATGTACATTTTACATTGGTAAGGGCGTTTAGCTAGAATCACAACAATTTAAAGATGAAACATGGCTTGCATTAAATTGAGCAGAATAGTTTTAATAGAATTGTCTTTGTGTATAGACAAAGATAAAAGAACAAACTGAATATAACGATAAAACATGATAATCAGAATAAAAATATACATCTTAAATGTAAGGACTAAGTGCATAAATTATTAGTTTAAATTTATTATTAGTTAGATAAAGAAGTATGGAAAGACAACAATTATGATTCAAAGTGTATAGCATTTAAATTTATTTGAAAGAGCAATCCGTAGTTTCTTGTTGGTTCTTCTCAGAGAGGTCAGCGTAGTGAACGAGCAGTTGCTTAAAAAATGACGTTCTCAAATGTAAAAACTTTACCTATGGAATAAATGATTATTTAACTTTGAATACTGGTAGTTTACTTGCTAAGGTTTGCCTTGCGGACACCGGTTATCAAGTCTGAGAAAATATTTAGGTACCTACTGTTGCACTATACTCATTGCGTAGTCCGGACAGACGGCAGACCGGTGAGTTGAGACCCAATTTAGTTCTTCTTAGTCATGTTCATCATTGCTGAAAATCGTTTTACTGAGTTGTTTTCTTCAAACTACTTACATTACCATTTCGCCTTAAGTTTTACAACAAATAGTCACCTCTCGTTGACAGACATCCATGAAATCGATTGAACCCCGTCAACGGATTATTTCCACACTGCGTTTTTATAAACAAACTGATGTAAAAACCGATAAAAACTATAAAATCCGGATATGTCCGGTTTGAACCGAAACTATTTTAAATTACAGAATCAATCGAGCGTTTTAAATTTTGTCACCTTAGTTACAATGCAAGGGGTTTATTATTGAAAGTACACGATTTGTATTTTCATTTTAAACGAATAAAAAACTTTCAAAATTTAACATTTAAACTGTTTATTTTAAGGATCAATGTTGAAAATCATTAAGACTATGGTACTTTAGTGCGTTACCCATCTCATGCGACATATTTTTTCATACAATGTTTATTAAAGATCATAAATTACATATTCTTAAATGTATACTTACTATGCTTTGTACACACATCTAGAATAATAATGGTCGCTAATTAGTATTTGTCATGGGTAAAAACTGGTTGTCTTTTATAATAATAATAATAAGGTGCCAGATGTCCAATGAATTCCTGGTCTCAATGGAATCCACTCCGAGGCACTACCGAGAATACTCAGACCAGAGCCAATGTAGAAAAATTATTTCCCAAATTGGTCCTACAAGGAATCCAACCAGCTAACCCCATCCCCAGTCAAAAACCGTTAGGCCACCGAGGTCGTCATATTTAGCATGTGACTTATGTATTTGAAAAAGCCAACTTTTGGAAAATGGCGTTTAAAGTATATGAAAATTTGATAAGGCGAGATTCTTCGTTTAGTGACGGTATTGTTTTGACTGTGTGATATAATCAGAACTACTCTGTGGTATGCGACTATAACAAATATTATCTCAAGAATAAGCCCCTCGTGCGAGTAGGAGGGCTATAATTGGATGAGTCCGAATCAGTTTACCGGACACGTCCAGTGTTTACCCCAATCACGACGGGTTTACCCAATTTACCGGGTGTTTTTCCCGATATATATCACTTTAATCGGAATTTATCTATTAAGGGGCGGGGGCTATCACGTTTCGTTAAGGGAGAAAGGTAATTACGTTCGTTATGATTAATTTCTATTAATAGGTTTGAATTAATAGCTATTGGCAACTCCCCTTTTTCGAAGGTAACTTTACAAGTTTGTCTAATTATAATGCAGTGTTTTAACAAAGTGTTAAGTTATAATAAGTTTGAAACTTTGTGTTTCGTCGATAGGTTATACTTTATACAGGGTGATGTTTTATGAATGTCCTCTATGAATTTAATTGATACGAATAATTTTGCGAAAAAATCCTTTATCGGGAAAAAGCTTTTTTTTGCGATTTGACAAGAATCTTAAAAAATTAAATTTAAAGTAAAGGACTTGAATAAAATTAGTAGCAACAGAGCTCCTTTTCAAAAAGTACGTATAGGGAGGTATTGCCACCTAGTCATTTCTGCCCCCGAGCAGTAATGTGAGCATTACTGCGTTCCGGTTTTGAAGGCTAAGGGTGCTGGTGAAATTACAGGCACTTGGGACTTGTCAACTGAACTGCACTGCTATGAACAGGCACGACTTGTTCGTCACTTGATATCATAAAAAAATATCACCCTGTATACGTGTACGTTACAAAAGTGAACAAAAATAGTTTGGCATGTGTAACGTTTTCATGAGTGATGAGCCAGAATATTTTTTATTAAAAAAAACACATATACAAATCTATCATTGATGTATAAGTGCCAATGCCAGACACGAGTCTCCTCTAAAGGGAGGGTTTCG